TGAGGTTGCTTTCGGTCAAATTCTGGTCCCTGACTTAATTGCTTTCTAGCCTTATCCAACTCGTTTAACCTCAGTTTCCTAATCCGTGAGTTAATCCCTGCTCAACCTGCCTTATTGAGTTGGGATAAAACTTAGAAGTGAGTTGATGTATGGAAAAGCTTTGAAACTGAGAAACGTGCTACCCAGATGTGTGGGCTCAGTAAATAAATCCGTGAGTTACCGTGATGGAGCTCAGAGGTCTTGCCTCTTCCCGAGCTGAGTATTTCCAGATGCTGCTGAGGTCTCCAGCAGCAGAGGGAAATGTTGCTGTGTTCCCACTGCCTTCATTGCTTGGAGATTTAGAAATAACAAGTTATTTTATTTATTTAACAAACACTTAGATTGTTGTTGTTAGGTGGCTCCGAGTTGGTTTGGACTCACAGCAACCCCATGTACAACAGAACGAAATGCTGCCCGGTCCTGCGCCATCCTCATGATCATTGTTATGCTTGAGCCGGTTGTTGCAGCTGCTGTATCAGTCCATCTCATTGAGAGCCTTCCTTTTTTTCGTTGACCCTCTGCTTTACCAAGCATAATGCTATTTGCCAGGCACTGTTCTAAATACTTTACAAATGTTTACTCATTTGATCCTCATATAATCCTGAGGTGGTCACTATTAGCATCCTCATTTCATGTGGGAGGATTTTGAGTCTCAGAGAGGTCGAGTAACTTACCCAAGGTCACACAGCTAGTAAAGGATGGGGTGTCTAATAAAGGCAATCTGTGCTTTTCCCCTTCATCCTTTTTCCTCACCACACCTCTATCCTTCATCAGATATAGTCATAGAATTCTTTGTGTCAGCTTATTTATCTCAAGGGCATGAGATTTAAATTCTCATATGAAGTCTGGTGTCTGGACAATCCTAACTAATTTGGTAGCTTTGATTTTGGTTTTCTGCCTTGTCTGGTAGCAGGGCAAAGTGGGAATGGGCTGGGAAATTAGGCAGATCATCTGAACTGCAGTCACTGATTTGCTGCTTATTAGCTGTGTAACTTTGGGCAGGTTACTTAACCTCTCTGATCTTCAAATGGTTTTGTTTTTGAGTAAGTTTACTTATTGTGGCAGTGCCTAACTTCCTATTCTTTTCCTTCATCTTTATCTCCGAGCAGCAAGCTGAGACCTAAGGATACAAAGACGAATAAGACCCAATGCCGAAGTGGAGGCTGGGGAGCTCTCCAGATCAGGAATCAGGGAACTTGAGTTCTAGCCAGTCCTGGCTGTCTCCTACCCTGGTGACCTTGGACAAGTTCCTTTGTTTCTCTGGGCTTCACTTTTGTCATTTGTAAGCTAGGACCTGGGTTGACTCCACTCCGAGGCCCCATCTGGTTCGTCGTTTTCTGATTTTTCATATTTAGGTCAGGACAAGCCTGTGCCTGAGGGACCTGCGCTGTAGCAGGTGGATACAGGGTGTGTCAGCTTTTCCCTTTAGGCCACTCTTGTCAACGCTCCCAACAGCTTCCTCTCTGGTGCTCTAGGGAGGCCTCTTGGCTCTGTTTAGGAGGTCGGAATGGTGGAAACAAAGACAGTTCAGATTCTCCTCAGCCTGTCAGGATCTGAGACTCTCAACAACAAGTTATTTTATTTATTTAGCAAACACTTATGTGGCACTTGCTGTTTGCCAGGCACTGTTCTAAATGCTTACTTACTGATCTGTTGTGAACAGTTTCACATTTTTTTCACCACATCAAAGATTCTTTTTGAAGATATGGCTGGCATCTGTCTCTCTCCCTGTAACCCCACAGCACCTTCCTACAGAATCGAAGCTTCTTTTCGATTTTACAATCCCTGGGGGGCAGAGGAAACCCTGGGGACATAGTGGTTAAGAGGCTGGCTGCTAACCAAAAGGTCGGTAGTTGGAATCCACTAGGCGCTCCTTGGAAACCCTATGGGGCAGTTCTACTCTGTCCTGTAGGGTCACTGTGAACTGGAATCAACTTGATGGCAATGGGTTTGGTTTTTTTTTTGTTTTTAGAGGGGCAGATTTGGGAGGTGAAAAATGAGTCAGAGGCAGCTCCCCGTTCTTTGTTACTCTGCAGTTGACTCAAAGCTGCGGGAGCTGCAGTCCTTGTCGTTTAGGCTGAAAATTGTCCTTATTTAGAAGAGGAACGGGCTGCCTGTGTGCTTTGCTGGATACTCAGATGGCTTGGAGTGGGGGCCTGGGGAGCGCTTACAGAGGTGAAGAGGAGCCAGCCCCGTGATCCCCAGTGTCTCTCAGCCTCCTGGAGTCAACAGGAAGGGGGAGGGTAAACACCTGGAACAATCCATTCCCACCTTTCTACTTCCCTGTGCAAGTGCTGGGAGTGGGAGGCAGCGCCATCACCTCAGGTTTAAGATCCTCATAAAAAAAGTTACTATCCTGTAATTACACAGAGGAATTGCACTTAGCAGGCACATTTAAAGAAGGGCGGCAAAATGGATCCTGTCTAAATAGTGTGACTTTTCTTGGGCAAAGTTGAATTCTAAAGCTTGCCAGTTTAAGAATTCTGAAGGGGCATCCGTGGTTTTATTTCTTTTGCACCTCATTCTTTGATTTGTATAGATTTTCCAAATTCTGGAGCCCTATGGCACAGTGGTTAAGAGCTTGGCTGCTAACCAGAAGGATGGCAGTTCGAATCCACCAGCTGCTCCTTGGGAATGCTATGGGGTAGTTCTACTCTGTCCTGTTGGGTCACTCTGAATTGGAATCGACTCCGTGGCCACGGGTTTGGTTGTTTTTTTTTGCCCTCCAGATTCTAGTGGCATTTGTGAAGTTATTGAGACCTGTTGAAAGTTAACAGGCTTTTGCATGATAAATTTTAGTAATTATTGGCTCATTCTGAGCATAGGGTAGTGGGGCAGAAAAGGAGAGACAAGAAAATAAAATGGTTCACAAGTGTGCTTTTCTTTAAAAAAGGAAATTTAAAAAGCATGACAAGCTATTTCTTTTTTGACTCTTGGTATTACAAGTTCCCAACAGCTTGGGTGGTGCAAGTGGTTTTTGATTGGCTGCTAACCTAATGATTGGCAGTTCAAATCCACCCAGCTGTTCTGTGGAAGAAAGGCCTGGCTAACTGCTTCCGTTGTTGTGCTGTCAAGTCAATTCTGACTCATAAGTGAGCCTATGTGATAGAGTAGAATGGCCCCCTAGCGTTTCCTAGGCTGTATCTTGTGGAGCTTCTGAGTGGATTCGAATCATCAACCTTTCGGTTAGCAGCTGAGCACTTAACCATTGCACCACTAGGGGCTCCTCTGTAAAGATCACAGCTAAGAAAACCCTATGGGGCAATTCTGCTCTGTAACACGTGAGGTTGCCATAAGTTGGAATTGACTTGATGGCAACTTTTTTTTTTTTTTAAATTACAAGTTCACTGCTATTACTATTCCTTGCACACACACCCCCCACTCCTATAGTATACTCCATGGAATGCCTTAGTGCCCATCTCAGCTGCCTTGCTCCTCTTCCAACCAGAGCAGCCTGTTTAATTTGGAGGTGGCACACTGGTGCCTCTTTCTTCAAACGCTGCAGCTGTGGTTTCAAAACTTCCCTCTGCGAACTGGAAGGTTGACGTTTTTGGCTGGAATATCTCTTTTGTTTCAGTGTTGGTTTTGGGGATGTAACAGAGTTAGCTGGTGAGAGAGGTAGCAGTGAGAATACTTTGGGGCTAAACCTTAAACCCTCAAGAAAAACGTGACTATAACGCTGACCAGCTCCAAAACTCATTTTAAGTCAGTGATTTAGACTTAAACTCATTAAAGAGTAAGAACACTGAAATTGCAGGTCCAAAGGTGCAGAGGAAAGAAAGAGATTGATCTGGATGAAAAGAGCCAATGCTTGAGGGCCATAGGTCTGCCTTTCTGCTGGGTGCGTTGTATCTCTCATTTCATCTCACACCAGGCTGGTGAAGTTGGAATTGGTAACAACCAAGGCCTCTTAGTGAGGTTAAGTAATTTACCCAAAGTCACACAATTTGTGAGTAGCTGAGTTAAGACTCGAACCCAGGTTGACTGCAAAGCCATTGTCTTTAACCACTCAGCCATAAAACCTCCCAGGAAATGCTACAAGGGGATAGCACTCTTAAACCCAACCCTGTAGGGTAAGTTGGATTTGGATAAGGAGAGAAGAAAAGGAAGGAAATTCTGGGCAGAGGAAGCAGTAGACACGATCAAAAGCTTGGGAGAGGGACTGTGCATGACGTGGAACAGTATCTGCTGGTTGTAAGTTCCATAGGGCCAGGACCATGTTGCCTGGGGCCACCATTGTCTAAGTGAGTGCCTGACACATAGTAGGTGCTCACTAAATATTTGCTAAGTAAATATTGGTTGTGTGAATGAATACATGAACAACTTGTCTTCTCCATAACCCTTGAGCCGCTTGAAGGCATGGACTATGCTTAGAAATCTGTGGGTCCTCCACAGCTCACAGTGGTTAACAAATAGTAAACAGTAAGTATGTCCTGATAAAAGGAATGAATGAGCGACAGGTAAGGGAAGTGACATGCCTGAGTGAGGAGGACTGATGCTTTGGGAAATGCTGAGCAATACAGCATGAACTGGCATGTGAGAGTCTATGGCGGAAGGTCTTCAGGGCCAGGACAAGAAGCTTCTGCATTCTCCGGGCATTTTTAAAAGCCATCTCTTAATCCACACATTGTGGGGTCCACAGAAACCCAGCCAGGGCCCAAACTTTGATGAATGTTTGTCGGAACCAGCGTCAAGCACAGCTTAGGAATCACTTTTCTGTAGGACTGGCCTCCACTTGGCCCCATTATCACTGCCTTCCCACTTTGGGGTGACCACACTGGTATAACCAAAAAGGGACCTGCAAAATCTTGTGAATGGGAATCTGTGGGGTATAGGAGTGTTATTGTTGGGTCGCAGAGTTGTTTTTAGGATAGTTTGGCTGGAAAGTCCCAGCCAACTTCCTCTAAGATGTGGTCTGCTGTGCCCAGGAGTTCTCAATAAAAGTTGCCCTCTCTCTTCAGGTGTTGGCTGCATTTGTGGGTTTAAAAAAGCCTGAGGGCCAGAAGGCAGCCCTGGGAGCAGAAGCAGCCCTTTCTGCGGGCAGTTGGAACCTGGTGGTCGAAAGGAGAAACTGTCCCTACACCTGAACTTATGACCCGCGGCTTCCCTCCCAGCCTGCCCACTGAGTTCCACAAGATGGGCTCCTTCCGCAGGCCAAGACCGCGCTTCATGAGCTCTCCAGTGCTCAGCGACCTGCCCCGATTCCAAGCAGCCCGACAGGCTCTGCAGCTGGGCTCCAACTCGGCCTGGAACAGGTAAGAGAGGTAGCTAGTGTGGAGTGAGGGCTGCGAAGGACCGCAGCAGTGCCAGGTGGCATCTGACCCTGACGTAGCTGCTGCTTCTGGAAAGTGGTGATTTATAGTCGTGTTAATTCATGAAAAGAGCAAGTTTTTTAAAAAATTTCTGGAGCCTCTGGTGTATGGGAGTCAGTTAACTGGCCCATTAATCACACTCCAAACTGGATTGTACCCCAGGGTGGGGCCATATAAGTATGTATGTGACACAGAGCCTGCCCTCCAGTAACCTGCTATCACTTGGTAGATAAGACACGTATTTATGAAAAGCTAAATGAGTGGCATAAGCCAAGGATTACCAGTATCTGTGAGCCACAGGCACTTCAGAGGAGAAGCTGAGAGCTTTTGTAGGCTGTCTAGCTGACCTTTTGTACACCAAGCATGGAGTAGAAACAGAATAAATATTATTTCTTGCATTTCTCTGGGTACTACTTTTCCAATCTATGCAGATACTTTTTGGGTAAATTAAGTGCATCATTATTTTAAAGCATTACTGAATTCTTTGTAATTTGGGTCATTATGGGTTTTTTCAATGAATGGACAAAAAAGCACAACTATGGTGTGAGTGGAGGGGAGAACTCTGAAATGTTTTGGTGTTAAATGGATCCTTGTTCTTTAAAAAAAGTCCAGTGCCCCTTGGTGTAGCCAAGATTGTAATCAGCTCCTTGCTGAAATACTGGGCTGGAGTCCCAGAGACCAAGGAGTCAAGTCCTAACTGGCCCCTCAAGGCACTAACTGTACTTACTGCCTTATACCTTACAAGAGAGGGAATAAAAGGTGGAAGTGAGGCTAGCCCATGTGAAATTCTTCCAAGAAAAGTGCTTTAAAAAAGGAAAAAAAACAAAAACCAAACCCGTTGGCGTGAGTCAATTCTGACTCCTAGCGACCCTATAGGATAGAGTAGAACTGCCTCATAGGATTTCAAAGGAGCGGCTGGTGGATGCGAACTGCCGACCTTTTGGTTAGCAGCTGAGCCCTTAACAACTGCGTCACCAGGGCTCCCATTAAAAAAGAAAAAAAAAAAGTCCTCAAAAAGTTAAACACAGAATTAACCTTATGACCCAGCAATTCCACTCCTCAGTATATACCCAGAGGACTTGAAATCAGGGACTCAAACAGATACTTATATCCCAGTATTTATAGCAGCATTATTTACAGTAACCAAAAAGAGGAAGCAACCCATGTGTCCATCAACAGATGAACGGATAAACAAAATGTGGTATATCCACACAATGGACTATTACTCAGCCATGAAGAGAAATGAAGTTCTCTTTATAACATGGATGAACCTTGAAAACATTGTTAAGAGAAAGTAGCCAGATATAGTATGATCCTACTTATATGAAATATCTAGAACATGCAAATACATAGAGACAGAAAGTAGATTTGAGGTTCCTAAGGGCTGGGGGAGAGGTCGAATGGGAAGTTATTGCGTAAGTACTGAGTTTCTGTTTGAGGTGATGAAAAGGTTTGTGGTACATGGTGAGTATAGTTAATGACACTGAATCGTACACTTAAAAAATGGTTGAAATGGCAAATTTTGTTATATCTATTTTATCACAATTTCTTTTAAAAAGGCAAGGAATTATCATTTCATATTAGTCCCAGGCTGCCAGCCTGCTCTGTGAAGACAGCAGCCTCCTAGGTGAGAAAACCCCAGTCTGGCTCCTGTTTACAGTTAACGCCATTGTGAATGCTTTCAGGCCTAGCTTGCTGGGCAGGCAGTTTGCTCAGAGCAGACTCCACTGCCTGTGCTTTGATTGTTGCCGCTCACCAGCTGGGCTGCCAGAGGGGCCAGGGAGGAAGACTTGCTGGCCTGTGAGACGGCAGGAACTACCTTTGTGCTCCTTTGACGTCAATCTTCTTTCTTCTCCAAGGACCCTGGGAAGGAAAGGATGGATTCCAGGGATGGAAAGTGTGGCAGTGATTGTGGCATGGGCTTCCTGCCCCTTCCACATGCTGTCAGCCCTGTGCTGCTTGTTGAGATGGCCCTGAGTAGGCAGATCCTCCAACCAGAAGTTAATTTCTATTTCCCCACAGCGTCCAGACAGCTGTGATCAACGTCTTCAAAGGAGGCGGCTTGCAAAGCAACGAGCTCTATGCACTGAACGAAAATATCAGGTAGGTGGCCAGACCAAGGCCGTTTCCCCATGGGCCTGAATTGGGGGAAGAGAGGCTACCCCACCAGGAGCCTTATCTGAAGGGGTTTCTTTTCTGTTCGGTTCTTGTTACTTCATCTCTGAGCTATTATATTGCTCTTGTGGTGGTTGAGTTCTGAGACCCTTATCTGTCTATAGTTCTGATCCAGAGAGGATTCATCCGTTTGTTTATGTATACAGAGTGTGTGTGTGTGTGTGTGTGTGTGTGTGTGTGTGTGTGTGTTGGGGTGGGTAGTTAGATGGTGGTGTTGTTGTTAGCTGCCATCCAGTTGACCCCTGGCTCATGACGATCCCATGCACAACGGAATGAAACACTGCCTGGTCCTGCACCATTCCCATGATTGGTTGTGGATCAGACCATTGTGATCCATAGGGTTTTCAGTGGCTGATTTTCAGAAGTAGATTGCCAGGCCTTTCTTCCTAGTCTGTCTTAGTCTAGAAGCTCTGCTGAAACTCGGTCAGCATCATAGCAACATGCAAGCTTCCACTGACAGACGGGTGGTAGCTAAGCATAAAAGCGCGTTGGCTGGAAATTGAACTTGGGTCTCCCTCATCAAAAACAAAACAAAACAAAACAAAACAAAACCCATTGCTGTAGAGTCAAATTCTGACTCTTATCAACCCTATAGGACAGAGTACAACTGCCCCATAAGGTTTCTAAGGCTGTAAATCTTTACAGAAGCAGACTGCCACATCTTTCTCCCACGTAGCAACCGGGTTCAAACCACTGACCTTTTAGTTAGCAGCCAAGTGCTTAAGCACTGTGCCACCAGGGCTCCGTCTCCCTTGTGGAAGGTGAGAATTCTACCATGGGACCACCAGTGTCCCCACTGATAGATGGTAGCTATTGTTTATTCTCTACTTATGCATCCGGCAAGGAGCCCTGGTGGCACAACAGTTAAGTGTTCGGCTGCTAACTGAAAGGTTGGTGGTTAGAGCCTACCCAGTGGCTCCCTGGGAGAAATGACCTGGCGGTCTGCTCCTGTAAAGACGACAGCCTAGGAAACCCTATGGGGGCAGTTCTACTCCGTCACGTGGGGTTACTACGAGTCGGAATCAACTCGTATCTAACAACAACAACATGTGTAGGTACCACATTAGGCGTAATCATAGTTACCTGGTGCTGCTGTAAAACAAATACCACAAGTGGGTGACTTTAAAGAACAGAAATTTATTTTCTTGCAGTTCTGGAGTTTCCAAATCAGGGTCTCAGCCATGTTGGTTCCTGTCTTGTTGGTAGCCCTGGGCGTTTCTTGGCTCCTTGGCTTGTAGATGATCCTCACGTGGCGTCTGTCTTCCCTTGAGTGTACGTGACTGTGTGTCTAATCTGCTCTTTTTATAACTCAGATGTGATTAGGTTTAGGTCACACCCTACACTGATGGCCTCATTAACATAACCAGTAAAACTGTATTTCCAAACAGCATGACATCCACCCCTACAGGGGTTAGCATTCCAGCACGTATTTTAGGGAGACACAATTCATACAAAAACAAAACCCCATTGCCGTGGAGCCAATTCCGACTCATAGCGACCCTATAGGACCCTATAGTAGAACTGCCCCACAGGGTTTCCAAGGAGCAGCTGGTGGATTCAAACTCCTGGCCTTTTGGTTAACAGCAGAGCTCTCAATCACTGCATCACCAATTCAGCCCACATCAGGCACCAGTATTGCCCAGTGGTTGGAACCTGACTGCCTGGGATTTTATTGCTACTCTTTCTCTTAGTGGCTAAGTGATTTAGGCAAGTTATCAACTTCCTTGTGTCCAAGTTTCCTCTTACTGAAATGAGGATATTAAGTGTACCTCCTTCCACAGGATTATTATGAAGGTTAAATTGAGTTACTATAGAAATAATCTGTTAAAACAGTGTCTGAAGCACATTAATTGCTTGGTACTTGTAGCTCTCATTGTTGTCGTCATCATTATCATTAGTCTCTGGGGATACAAACCTCAATAAAGCATAGTCCTTGTCCTTGAGGAAATTATTATCATCTAGAATCTTTTTGATAGAACAGTGTCAGCTTTTCACTCACCTATTGGCTCACTCATTCGCTCACTCACTCAATAAATATTTGAGCACCCCCCTCTGTTGGCCAGGCACTGGAGAGACAACAATGAGCAAAGACAGACATGGACCCTTCCCTCCTGGAATTTATATTAAGTCAGGGAGATAATTATTAGTGAACTAATCACACAAATAAACGTAAAAGTGCAACTGTGGCAGCTGCTACAACGCAGCCGTATGATGAAAGCATATCCTAGGATGGCTTGCTCTTGCCAGGGAGGCTGGGAATGGTGGATGTGATGCTTGTGCTGTGATGAGAAGGATCAGTGGGAAGTAACGAGGTGAAGAAGTCTCCAGGTAGAGGAAGTCTAGGTGCAGAGGTCCTGTGGTGGCAGAGCAAGGAACTGAAAAAAGGCCCCCGTGAGTAGAGCTCCAGGGTGGGCTAGTGATGTGGTTTGGTTTGTGTTGTGGTAAAATGAGGGTAGAGAGGCAGGCAGGGCCCAGAGCACCAAGTCTCCCAGGGACAGGAAGTTGAGCCATCAGGTCTTTTAATGTCCTGGTGTTGATTTGTCTCTAGTGTGTAAAGTGCAGAATATCAAGGGTAAAGGCCCAACCCTGGAGCTGGCAGAACAATAAACAAGGCCGTTATTCGATCCTGTTTACATTTATTAAGGTCTGTGTTAAAAGTCAGTGAGGTGTTTTAAGAGCTCTACTTTCATTAAAAGCTTTAGAGCTCGTAAGTAAACAGTTGCGTTAAAATTTCTGTCCCTAGGCTTGAAATTTGCATAATAAGTACATAATATGGGAAGAGACAATAGAGATCATTTAACCCAAGGCCTCACTTTACAGATGAGGAAATTGAGGCCCCGAGAAGTTGAGGGACAGGAGCAAATCTGGGTCAGCCAACTCCCAAGTCTCACACTCAGTTTTACTGCAAGAACTAAGATCCTGGCCTTTCCACAGAGGGTTCTAGCTCACAATAGAAGTATAAACAAATACAACAGTGACTCAGAAACTTGCTAATTGTTCCTCACTTAAGGCGATCCATCCTGAAATTATACTTAAAAGCTTTGTTTGTGGGCAGCTAGGAAAGGTACAGGCCGTGCCACGGTTCCCAGCCCCGTTAGCCCACGAGCTGCTAACCTTGAAGCCTTCAGGGGCCAAGCAGGTCTTCTAAATGAGTGTAGCCAGCCTGCTACACAGTAGCGACCTGGAGAGCTCACCCTCTGTCCAAAGGGGCTTACTCTGGCAGAATGTGGGTCTAGTGATAACATCTCATTTCTCAAGAAGAACTGGAATTCAAGTCTTTTTAATGTGAAATTTCCTGACTTTTTTTGTTTGTTGTTAATAATTTACTTCATTTTCGTTGTTGTTGTTGAGAATATACACAGCACAAACATACGTCAAGTTTCTACATACACAATTCAGTGACACTGATTAGATTCTTTGAGTTGTGCAACCATTCTCACCCTCCTTTACTGCATTGTTCCTCCCCGGTTAGCATAAGCTCAATGCCCTCTTCATCTTTCAAGTCACTGTTGTCGGTTTGATCCCATATAGGTAGATCTTTTTTTTTTATTTGTTTATTGTTGTAGTTTAAGTGAAAGTTTACGTTTCAAGTTAGTCTCTTATACAAAAATTTATACATAAATTGTTATGTGACCCTTATTGCTCTTCCTGTACAGCGACAGCACACTCCTCCTTTCCACTCCTGATTCCCCATGTCCATTCAACCAGCTCCTAACGCTCTCTGCCTTCTTATCTCACCTCCGGACAGAAGCTGCCCCTTTAGTCTCATGTATCTACTTGAGCTAAGAAGCATGCTCTTGATGAGTATCATTTTATGTCCCACAGTCCAGTCCAATCTTTGTCTGAGGAGTTGGCCTAGGAAATTGTTTTAGTTCTGGGCTGATAGAGAATCCAGGGGCCATGCTTTCCAGGGTTCCTCCAGTCTCAGTCCATTAAGTCTGGTCTTTTTACTAGAATTTGAGTTCTGTACCCCACCTTTTTCCTGCTCCATCGGGACTCTCTGTTGTGTTCCTTGTCAGGGTGATCATTGGTGGTAGCTGGGCACCATCTAGTTCTTCTGGCCTCAGGCTGATGAAGTCAGCCCTTTCTGTCTCTTGGGCTAATACTTTCCTTGTGTCTTTGGTGTTCTCCATTCTCCTTTACTCCAGGTGGTTGGGACCAACTGATGCATCTTAGATGGCCGCTTGCAAGCTTTTAAGACCCCATACGCCACTCACCAAAGTAGGATGCGGAACATTTTCTTAATAAGCTTTGTTATGCCAGGTGACCTAGATGTCCCCTGAAAGCATGGTCCCCAGACTCCTACCCCTGCTACTCTGTCCCTCAAAGTGTTTGATTGTATTCAGGAAACTTCTTAGTTCAGTTGTGCTAACTTCCCCTGTAGTGTGTGCTGTCCTTCCTTCACCTAAGATAATTCTTATCTACTACCTAGTTAGTGAATAACACTCACCCTCCCTCCCCACCCTCATAACCATCAAAGAATGTTGTCTTCTGTGTTTAAACTTTTTCTTGAGTTCTTATAATAGTGGTCTTATACAATATTTGTCCTTCTGTGACTGACTAAATTCACTCAGCATAATGCCCTCCAGATTCCTCCATGTTATGTTTCATGACTTCATTGTTGTTCTTTAATGTTGTGTAGTATTCCATTGTGTGAATATACCATAATTTGTTTATCCATTCGTCCGTTGATTGGCACCTAGGTTGTTTCCGTCTTTCTGCTATTGTGAACAGTGCTCCAATGAACGTGGGTGTGCATATATCTATTTGTGTGACGGCTCTTATTTCTCTGGGATATATTCCAAGGAGCAGGATAGCTGGATCGTATGGTACTTCTATTTCTAGTTTTTTAAGGAAGTGCCGAATCGATTTCCAAAGTGGTTGTACCATTTTACATTCCCACCAACAGTGTATAAGTGTTGCAATCT